TTTTTTTTTTTTGGTTTTTTTTTTTTTTTTTTTTTTTTTTTTGTACGACGAGGAATAAACCAAAACAGAAATCTCTGCCATTACTGTTTTTGGAAGGTGTAGGTACTTGGAGGTTGCAAAACGCCAACAACAGCAGTCTCATCTCAAAAAAAGAGCTGAGAGTTGCTTAAAAGCAAATTTTAGGCGACATCATAGCTTATGTCATTTTTCCATCGAAAACGAACGAATTGTGTACAGATTCTATGACTTACTTTCACACATAATACCACAACCTTCATGTTAACGAGGTCCAGTTATGGTGCTAGGAAGGATTATATATGACTAGATGGACCGAAACTAGCACACCTTTGTGGGATATTTCCCTGAAATAGCTGTTGAAAACGGATTTTTTTTTGATTTGCCCGTTGGAACTTGAATTCTTTAACGTTTTTTTTTTCTCCGAACGAGGAACTGTTTTTTTGTAGGAACATTCCATGATTGGTCATTGTTGTTGTATGGCACGGCAGAACCAGCACAAGCAACGGATCCGCGACATCCATACAACTCACCATCATCATCCAGCGGCTCAGCGGAATCACTTCTAGGACGGGCAACACAACGTATAACATCGCAGGTACCTTTGAAATTTAGTAATAAGAATTTTTTGTTCTTCGTCAAAAATTACAATCCAGAATCCGGAAAATACAAAAACTTGGTATTCATTTTTTTCCTCGGAAAATAAATTTTGGATTAATTATTGTTCAGGTTACTCATTTACTTAATTTTCAAGTAATCCAACCCCTGCTTAATTTACCCGCAATTTGTAAAAAAAGCTTCACGTTTCTGGCTTCTGCATTGGTGGCGGTAGCTTTGAGTAGCAGCTTTCTTATAACGTTCCTCCGATTTTCTTTTTTTCCATTTAATCGGCAATTCTGTTTTTCATTTTTCGAAGCTTTTTCGGGACCGGTTTCTAACAGTGAAGGGTTTTTTGATGTCATTTGAAACGTCCAGATGTTAACTTGAAATGCATGTCCTATGCTTTTTCTTACATTAAAAGGGACTGCTCTGAGAAAATCTACATCACTGAAATTACTTGGGCTCTCAGTGTGGAATCTTGTTCCTCCTGAGGCCCTCAGCGTGGAACTTTAATCCTACTAAGGCTCCCAGAGTAAGCTTTGAACCAAAACTTTTTTTGGCTACATACACATGAAAAGTCTTGAAGGCAGTCCAGATATTCATTTTCTTTCCCGTTGATCCCTCTTTCAGTGATTTCAGAAAACTCAGCCCTTTTTTAGCCATAAAAACCGAAAATTCATTTCTTTTATGACTCATTTTCCATTCGTTTCAATGGTAAAGTGGTATTGGTATATGCTTGGGAGTCAAAACCACCATCATGTTGACTGTAAACAATCCTTTGAAAGAGAGAGTTGTCGATATGGAGAAAGTTTGACGTTTAGTATAGTATAGGGCCTTTAGTATAGAAAATTTGACCTTTAGTAATTTTTTTGATAGCTTTCGGATGCTTTCAATGTTGATAATCTGGGCATGTTTCAAATGAAACATCAATTATGAAGCATTGTTTTTTTATGCTTATGAAAGGGCGCATTATGGCAATTTTTTTTATAAGTTTATCACTTTTTTTCGGGAAGCTTTTGTTTTTTTTTCTTTTTTTTTATGGGAATTTCATCTATAGAAGAAAACCATCAAGCATGATGTTTTGATGATGATGATCATGTGTCATCAGTGTGTTCAGGCCGAGCAACAAAAGCAGCGTGATTCTAGAGACTGGCAACCTGATTATGCTCAGGAGCAGCATGTTCCAGAAATACGGGTATGGCACAGATACACTCTCGTAGTTCCTTGTGTCATTACCAAGCATGAATAATTTGCATGCAGACTTTTTTTTTTTTTTTTTTTTTGATTTCTGCTCCTTTTTTGCCGCAAAAAAAGAACGGTTTGTTTAAAATTTTAAAATGAACATTGTAAATTTCTCGGTCTTTCTTAGCCATTTCATGGAGGATTTTTGACGTTTCTCAATTTTCATCCTGGGACCACAGGTAATGAGAGGCTATACTAAATAGAGAGTGTATTTAAATTTTTGACTATTGAAAGACACGTTAGCTAAATCTGACCTTATTTATTTTGGTAAAAAATATTTGGAAATGAAATATTTTTGTGATACTTTCCAATTTTTTCATTTTTTTTTCCCTTAAACTCATACCTTGGAGTGAAACAAGGATATTTTCCTAAATTTGACTAGAACACTTTTTTCCTTAAAGCCGAAAACAGCGATGGAGAATTTTGTTTTTATGAAAAAGTGAAAAAATTTTTTTCTTTAAAGAAGCATATTTTCTTTCCGAAAAATTATTTTTGTGGGAATTTTTGTTTAAAAAAACTGGCGACATTTTCTTTTCGTGAAAGTTCATTTTAATTCTCTTTTTTTTCCAAATTCGCCAATTAGATGTTTCCTTTTATAAGCCAGAGAGAGTGACAAAGCTGAAAATTTAAAAATCATGATCAAAAATGAAATTTTTACGGAATTCCGCTCAAAATGACCAGTGCTGTACACTATTTCGATGACTTTTTGACAGCCGCAAAAACTTGCTTTTTTCTGAAATTTGCTCTGGGATTGAAGGGTGACTGTTTTCTGAATAATTTTTGGATTTTTTGTCTTTCGAGTTTTTTTGTTTTCGTCCTTTCTGGATTGCGCTAAATGTATTATTTTTGAAATTCTGATTTTTATATTAGATGGAAACTAGTGTTTTTCCAAAATTCTAAAATTTTTGCCATTTTTTTTCGTCCTTCGGATATCGAACAAAAATCAGTGGATTGCGCTTCAGGCTATTTCACCTTCTTTCACTAACGGTAATAGCATTTCTGCACCAATTTTCAAGCGTTGAACTAATCTGCTTCTGAAAAAAATTACTATCCTGGAAATAACTGACTGTTTAATTCTAAAAAGTGTTACTGACCGTTTGAATGTAATAACAAACTTTGATATTTTACGCTTTGCTTATGGTAATGCTTATATGTCTTTCATGGTATTTGCTGTTTTGAAAAAAATTTAGAATGGAGTAGGTAAAAGGCAAATTAGTATTCGTAGCATAATATCTTTAACGACGCGCCATCGTTTTGAAAGGGCATTGCACTAGGGTTATTACTTGATTGCAGCTGAATATACTCGGTAGTCGTCAAAAAAATAGAAAAATCCATTTTTTATGTGCTCACGGTGCAGTATTTTTAAACTTAGTGACCAGTGAGGAAGGGAGATAATCATATGTTTTTTTTGCAAGTTAGTTAATAGTTATATTAGCAGTTTCGGGTTTTATAATTTGGGTTTTGCATGATCGCTTTTAAATGAAAATTTTGCATTTCCATCATTTGGAATAAAAATTTTAGTCTTTCATTATAATTATCGTCATTATTATCATCATTATCATAATGGTTATC